AACAATTCAACAGCCACAACACAAGAGAGACAGAGAGATTTCACCTCACTGCAGATGCCAGGACTGCAGACCACAACACCTGGCTTTTAGGTGCTGGACTAGAGGGTGCCAGAGAACCACTTCCACCTTCACTCAGTGTTCACTGGAAGCAGAGGAAACACTGCTGTTGATTCCAATGTTTTCTAATTACAGGCACTGAGCAGTGTCCTGTGTGATTGTGGGCAGCACTTCTCTTGTGTTAGCTTCATTTTATCCATCTGTTTAATGGGTGTCAGCAGATAGTGACTTGGCTTGGGCTCAGCATGGTGAAACATCTCATTGATCTGAATAGTTTTGGATGCAGCCTCAAGTGAAAAAAGCCTGAGTGAAAGAAGCATTCAGAAGAAGCTTTTTTTTTTCCCTCTGCCATAAATTATGCATGAGAACATTATTATTGTCTTGATTCTATCCTCTATTTTGAGATTATTAATCTAATTCTTGCAGAACTCTTTTTGGTCTGCAGCCTGTTTGCAAGCAGTAATGAGAATCTTTACTTGAGCAGCTGCTAATTTTCCAGGTGAGACTGAAAATGCCCCCATCTTCCCCAGAAATCAGACTGAAAGATGGAAATACAGGACGAAGATTCTTGCATCTCTTACCTCCCATCTTTTACTCTAATTCTGTAAGGTTTTATATGGTTTGTGATACGCTTCCTTGTGTGTTCTGCTTAAAAACTTAGATCTGATGGGAAATATCAGCTGTGGGGATTTCACTTGCCTTTCTGACAGGAAGAAGGGGAGAAAATGTTACATTAATTAAGGTGAGTTGACCAACATTAAATGTGCCTTTCCTTAAGTATCAAGGACTTGATCTTAAACACTAATAATCTTTGTTGTATTCCATGTCCTTGTACACATGTTCCTAAATTCTCTTTCTCCTCAAACAAAGACAATAGAAATACAGGTCTTATAGAAGTATAAAATCTTATCATAAGCTTATGATAATAAGTGCACAGAATCAAAGCTGGGAACCTCAGCTGTATGCCCTGCTTCTCCAACTGGAAGCACTTTGGATACTGAATTACCAGGGGTAAGTTGTTACCTTGCAAGGCTAAGGAATGGAAGGTGGAGGAAATTGGGATCAAATGCAAGAAAGGAGGAAAAGACTGCCTGGGTTTGCTGTGATGACCTCCTGTCCAAGAGGAGATAGAGTGTAACTGAGAAGGGAATGCCTCAAACAGAATTTCAAATGGAAAAACACAGAAAGTCTCTACCTGTCAAAAAGGCTGGAGTGATTTGTTTGCACCAAGTTTCAGTGAGGTGTTGAAAATTACAGTGAGATTAGGACCTCTCAGAAAATGTTACAAGAACATTCTGCAGTGAAAGTTTTTCTGCAGCTGAAACACTTACTACCTTCCCTATCATGCTTATTAGTACACCTTTATTTATGGATTAATTTTACTCTGAGTTAAATAGCCAAAGAAATATAAAATTAAATCATGTCGTATTAGACCTTTCCATTAAATCCTGGGGCTTGATTCATTTGCATTTTGTTGTAGCTTTATAATGCATGCTTATTTTAATTACTACTGCTGCACTTTATTCGTAATTGTCTGTGCAATGCCCAAGCACCTTGCTAAGTGGATAAGGAAGCCACTTTATTCCATAAGAACATAATTAATCCATTATTATTCATTATTATTTTTTCTGGAATGGACTGAAAATAATCACTACTTTGAAAAATACAATACCAACAAATTATCTGTGGCAAAAATAATTTAAACAGAATTCAGGCTTTCCTTATCTTCACCATTGCTTCCTTCCAGATAATATCTCTCCAAAAGAGAGAAGCAGCAGCATTTGATGACCTGAAGTTTGTGCTAAATGCCAAAGATGTTTAAAATCAGAGATTTGTTGTGTTGTGAGCGTGTGGTATCATCACAGGTTACTCCCCCCTTGTCCCTCCTGCTGCATCCTCCCTCCCCAGCTTCCTGCATGGCCTTGGACAAATCATTTAACCACTCTGTGTCTGCATTCCCTTTTTCTGATGGCTACAGTCCTACCATTCACCTTCAGAGCAGTGCTTCCCCGGCATGCAGAGCTTTGCAAATGATGTGTGTAGGTATTGTGGCTGCATAATCAAAAGGCCACAATAAGGCTGGATAAAAGAGGAGGCGTTTTCCAGCCACGCAGGATCTTTCTCACAGACAGAAAGAAGGCATTCAGTTTCTGGTGATGTTCTTGCAGATTCCTCCTGGATGAATACTCCATCTTTACTCAATTTTCTTATTACAGAGGATTATGCAACTCTACTAACTCGAAGTTTGTAAGGAAATCCTTGCATAGACCCTCATGTTAGGAACAAAAGCATTCTGCTGCCTTTCCTCTGGCACATGCTCTCTTTAGAAACCTGGAAGGTCAAGGCTGGTTGTAGCCTTTTTGTCCACCAGTTACAACACCTGCACAGAAAACAGGTTTGTTTCTTATTTTCCTACTACTCTGCTTCATTTTAGCTTACCAATACATGACCGTAGGTCTGTTTAATTTATGACAAAGATCTATTAGTACAAATTATGCTAATAAGGCTGGTCAAGCAAATTAAAGGTACAGAAACAGGGAGTGAATACATCAGGTTCATTCTGTGCAGTAAAAGTCACATCTTCTGATAGGCATTGAAGCACCATGACACAAGAGTTCCAAGCTGTTTGGCCCAAGCCCAAATCATCCAAATCAGGATTATGTTTTTCTTTTTCATTAGTATTTCCTTAAGAATACATGCCCCGACCTGGCTGACTTTACCTGGATAGGCCAGTGTGATGTCTGTGACCCTTATTTCTTCATCTCTTTTAAATGGCTAAGCTACAAAGGAACATGATGTCCTCTTCAAAACCAGAACTCTGCACAGGGATTGCCTTAAGATTTAAACCAGCCTCCTCTGTTCTACCAAATAAGCAATCTTGCCTGAAGTCTCTCCTAACAGTGCTCTGTGTGTGTGTGTGCAAACACGTATGTGCCCATAGCCAACCCTCCCTGTTTGTATCCCAGCATCTACAAAAGCCTAAAGTATGTTATTTCAGGGCTGTCCCTGGACTCTGTTCCTGTCACACAAGACTGAAATAGTGCTGTTCAGTAGTGCCTGTGAAAGCAGACAGCATGCCAGCAGCATTTCTCAAACCATCTCTTCCACTCTTCCCCAAATATAGCTTAGGTGTTTCCACCTCCTGTCTTGCTGTGTGTGCCTTTTTTCACATTCCCCTATAACCATCCCTCCCCTTGCTGAATAATGCCAGTTTCCTGTCACAAAACATTAACGACCCCTAGGCAATGAGATGGAGGAACATTTCCCATACAGTTTTCCAATAAAATCATAAATGTGTCAAATCTGAATGCTCACGTCCTTAGAGTTCACTCTGGGGTCTTCCCCCAACACACAGGGAAAATGTGGCAATGTTGAATGACACTCCAAAGCCACCTCTAAGTGCTTGCAAGAGAACTGTGAATAGCAGTTCTGGTTTAGGAGAAGTCTGTGAACAGTTTCTAATCCTGGTGGGTCTGTTTGCATCCCTTTACATTCCTAAGGCTATCTGTGAACAGAAGAGACTGCAAATACACCTTTCAGCTCATCTGAAACAGAGATTCTCTTTCACATTTCTTTTTTCCTCACTTCATGAAATCCTTGCTACAGAGCAGGTCTTGCTGATCTGAAAAGGCAAAATGAGAGTGGCTCTACACTAGTCGTAGAGTACTTGTACTATGAGTCAAATCTACTGGCATGCTTGTCTAAAACCTGACTGTTCGTGATGCCTCCTGGATCCTCTGCACTCACAGTGACTGGATAGGGTTTCACCCATTACAGAAATAACTTCATGGACCTACCCAGAGGTTACTGAAAGTAATTTTATTCCCCTTAACCAGGTTATTTACTGATGAATGTAATAGAAAGCACACAGAGAGTACCGCAGACTCAAGGCTGTAAGTTTGCAAATACTAATTGTGGATAAAGAAGGGCAAGAGAGGGTATTTCTGGAGAAATGAAGAAAACCTGCATGGAGTCTAACAGGAAAGGCCCTGCCTGTCAGCTCTCACATCTACAGCACCTACACCCCTAGCAAATCTGCAATAAGCCCTAGCTTTCTTCCAAAGAACCTAAAGGGCACCAACAATTCCAAGCAAGTTCCTCTAACGTCCATTTTCCTCAGAAATTGCTTCTGAGAGATTAACCCTACATTCAGGTTACACAAAGGACTTTGAGGTGCTGGAGCAAGTCCAGAGAAGGGCAGTGAAGCTGGTGAAGGGTCTGGAGCTAAAGTCATGTGAGAAATGGCTGAGGGAGCTGGGGGTGTTTAGCCTGGAGAGGAGGAGGCTCAGAGGAGACTTTATCACGCCCTAAATTCCCTGACAGGAGGCTGTAGTGGGATGGGGAGCAGTCTCTTCTCCCAGGAAAACAGCGACTCCACAAGGGGACTTGTGAGTCAATGACCTCAAGCTGCTCCAGGGGAGCTTTAGGTTGGATATTACAAAAAATTCCTTCACTGCAAGAGTAGTTAAGCATTGGCACAGGCTGCCCAGAGAAGTGTGGAAGTCCCAAATACAAGCAGACATGTCTCTTAGTGCAGTGCTTTAGGGGGCATGGTGCTTTTCAGTCAAAGGCTGGACTTCATGATCTTGGAGAACATTTCCAACCTTAATGATTCTGTTTCTCATCAGGCGAGCTAAAACCAGGGACGTTATCCACACGGCAGCCAAAACTAGACACAATTACCTCAGTCAATTTGGGGGAAAAAAAAAAAAAAAAAAAGAAATCGCCAAGCCACCCTGGATAACGAAAGCAGAGGAAGACTCAGAGACGCCCCTCGGGGAGAAGAACCCCGGCTACGGGAGGGGTTGCGAAAGGCTCCGCAGAGGGAGCAGCCAGGCGGCACCGGCAGCGGGGCGCGGCCGGGTGGGCAGGGAGCGGCGGGGGCAGCGCTGCCGAGGGACCGCCGGGCCGGGACGCAGGGACGGACGGCTCCCGCCCCCGCGCCGGCGGCCGGGGCATGGAGAGCCTGCTGGAGAACCCGGTGCGCGCCGTGCTCTACCTGAAGGAGCTCACCGCCATCGTGCAGAACCAGCAGAGCCTCATCCATACCCAGCGCCAGCGCATCGACGAGCTGGAGCGGCGGCTGGACGAGCTGAGCACCGAGAACCGCAGCCTCCGCGGGCAGCAGCAGCAGCAGCAGCAGCAGCAGCAGCCGGCCCCCGCCGAGCCGCCGGCGGCCCCCGCCGAGCCGCCCCAGGGTCCCCCTCCCGAGCAGCCCTCGGCGCCGCCGGGCCAGTCCGAGCCGCTTCAGCACCACCAACAGCTCCCGGCTCAGCCGCCGCCGCCCGCGGGCAGAGCGGCACCGGCGGGGCCCGGCGGCGGCGGGCGGGCTGCCGGCCACCAGCACCCCGCGGCGCAGCCCCACCAGCACCCCGCCGAGAAGGACGGCAGGGACAAGGGCTGCTGTGCCGCGCTGCTCCAGCACAAGCCCCCCCAGGCCATCGGCAAAGGCGTCCTGAGCCGGAGAGCGGAGTAAGTGCAAAGGGGAGAGGGGGCGGGCAGGGGCGGCGGAGGGGAGCGGGCGGGTTACGGCTCCCTCCGGGCCCGCATCCAGCCGGGAGCTGGGTTATACCCCCCTGCAGCCCCGCAAGGAGGGAGAGGCAGTGTGTGGGTGGGTGGGGAATCCCTCCCTCGATGCGTTCTCGGGGAGAGCAGGCAGAGTGCAAAGAGGAGCCAGGATGCTGCTTCCAAGACGCGTCAGCCTCGCGCTTCACTGCGCTCATTCCCGTGCAGAAGTGTCTGTAGCCCGTTCGGAGCCCCCCGGGCAGCTCACACACGGCATCGTGCCCTCATTGTCTGTCACAAATAAATAAGTCCGTGATCGACGATGAGTGCGGCTTAGCCCCGGCACGGAGAAGCCTCGCAAAGCACAGCAGCGCTGTGGTCGCTTCTGCTTGCCTTAAGTTGCTGGTATCTGTGTAAAAAACCCCATCCTCGCTGGAGTGAGCTGGGGTTTTCCTGCCCTCGCTGATGTAAGGGGTGCATTATATTGCACGTGATGGATACAGATGCTGTACTTAGGCTTGACATTTAGGGTGCCTATCGCCCTCGCGTGTGGGCTGTCTTTTTTTTTTTCTTTCTTTTTTTTTTTTTTGGTGGTTTGTCTTTTTGTTGGGTTTTTTTGAGCTTTTTTTTGGTGCGTGGGCATCTGACACTGACCCAGCTCTCCAAAAGGACAAAGTATTTTTTGCTGGTCTCTCGTCTTCAGTGAAGAAAGCTTGACTACTAGCGCTGGATACTGAAATGTATTGGGTGTGCACGAATGTATAGTAAACAAGGATGAGCATTCCAGCACTATAGGTGGAAAGGGCTACTACTGAAGAGCAACATTCTCTTGGATTATGTATTCAGTATATGCCACCAGTTCACCAGCTGGTAATTACAGCTGCAGTCAGTATTGTAATTCCCTTTGTTTCGGCACTTGGAAAGCAGGGGGATGTTTTCTGGTTGAAAGCCAGAGTTAGTAAAGTTAGAAGGAGAAGGAGCATAGTTTCTGCTGTGGCTTCTTCTAGATAGGAAAGAAACTAACATAAGTAGTAAAACTAGATCAAATGTCTTTCCTGGAGTTGTCTCTATTGTCTTTGTTATAGTGATGTCAAAACAATTGAAGTGCACAACACACAAGTACATATGAAGCACACAAATGAAGCACACAAGCCCAAAACGTCTTCCTTTTCTCTTTTGACAATTTAAATAAAGGGACCCTTCTCTCTCGTGTTTGTTTTGAACACACAAGCAGAGCTACAATGTCAAGCTGGATTTTCCACTGGTGTAAGTAGAGTTACACCACTCCATAACAGCTCAGCATCTGTCATGTGATTGTATGAAAATCAGTGAAGGTGTTGCTGTTGAAAGAAAGGCTATTAAAGGAATAGGTATGGTCAAGGCATACTTGAATCCCAAAAAGCAGATGCTTGCTTCTAAAATACTGCATTGTAAGACTCAATTTTTCAATCACAACTTAGAGGAAGTGAGTGGGCTCCTCGGAGTATTAATGCAGGTAGTAAGCCTTTGCAGGATCTGGCTCTTATTCATCATGAAATAGCTGGAGTTTAAAAAAAGAAGTGGGGCCAGATCCTGAACCCGTGCCAATTGGTGTAAATCCAGAACAGCATAGTTTGAATCCCTCAAGTCAAACCGCTAAGAAACCCAAATAAAAATGCATAATCAACCTCACTGTGTTTTAAGGAGTGACTCCCTGCAGTGAAGGCTCTGTAAGAAACATCATCTTGGCAAGGGCTTTCCTTGCTTCTGCACAGAGTTTCTAACATACGTCATTACACAGACTGAAGAATCAATTTCTCTGCATAAGACTAAATACTTCCTCCTTATCCTGCTCCTTTTGCAGTGGGCTTTGACTGGGGGCAGAATTGTAGGGTTTTTTCCTTCATGCCAAAATGCACAAAGAGAAATGCATTAAGAACACAGCTGATTGCTGGTGTATCATATGATGATCTTTCTGTTTCAGAGATTTAGATAGAAGGTTGGATGGAGCCTTTTTTTTGTGGAAAGTCAGGGCTGCTGCTGGGGATAACAGAGCAATCCCTGCAGCGTTCTTCGCTCAGGAAGATTAAAATAGACTGCTTCTGTTTCCTTCTATAGCTTAGGCAAAGCAAAATCTTTGTATAGAAAAGCAAATATGAGAGATGCCAAACAGTCTACATTTCTCACTTCTGCAGGTTCTTTTTTCCCCCCACTGATTATATACACTGAGTTTCATACTCTCTCGTCTCTGACTGTTAGAGGGAAATCAAAGAGCCTGCAGAACGTAACTTAAAGGCAGCTTGGATGGAGGGTGATGAGTCTTTCACCTCTAATTGACAGGATGCCCAATATACCTTATGATTCAGCTCACCAACCTCTGAGTTGTATTTTTGCTCTTGTGTGACAGCAGGGGACATATATGTTAACTCCAGGTATCTGCTCTCTCTTCCTTCCTCCCCCCAATGTCCAAACATGTTTTTCCCTGTTATAAAGTCTGAAATTCAATGTTAATTATTTTTTCTTTTCTTAGCCAAGAGTAGAGGACTGACTGCTCACTACAGAAAACGGCCACTCTAAACAGAACAAAAAAGATATTTTAGCATCTTGGGATACAGTGGCTAAAAGCAGGGGTTAAAGCAGCACCCAGGCAGTGCCCTGCTGTCTCTGCCCAGTGATGGAATTTCCTTTGCCTTCACAAAACAGGAGGTTCTGGCAATGTGTTTAAGTGTGGACCTGTGCTGGTCCTTCTCACCACAGACACAGCCCACAGATTTTGCTCATTTTGAGTCAGGTTTGAGGTTTTTTTGCAGCCCAGCTTACCTCAGGCTCTGGATAGAAGTGAAGACCTGAGCTTTTAGACACATGTGACTATTCACGTCAGCTGGAACAGTCTTCTGCAAGGGATGTCTTCTGCAACAGAAGCATCTCTCTTATTTTAAGGAAAACTTAAGTCTTATTTTTGCTGCTAGTTTTTGTAAAAACTGACAACTTTTCTTTCTTAAAAGCTTTAAAAAACCAAAAAGAACCACCAAATCCGAGCAAAACCTACATCTTAAAAGGGAACAAAACCAAGATTATCTCTGGAAATGGAAGGATTCCTGACCTATGCAGAGGCCCCTAATTGTTGCTGCATGTCTTTGTGTGGGAAAGGTGGTACTCAGCTTCCCTATGAAAGGAGAGGAGGAAAAGGAGAGAGATTTTTGCAGAGATTTTCAGCAAGAATTAGGCTGATTATTATTCCATGGCATCTGTCTCTTTCTACCTTAGGAGGCTATTGCATAAGCACCTCACAGTTTTAAAAACAAAAAAATAAGGTCATTCGTCATGGAAGGTTTTACTTCAAAAATACAGGTTGCCAAATTAGCATAGCTCAGATCACCCTTACCAGGCAGCCTCCTGTCTTCAGGGACCATCCCCAAGTGTTGGCAAATTCTGCAAATGTAAATTTTCCATCCCTTCTTTATCGGAATACAACCTTCCTTGGCAATCCCCAGTACCCTTCATTGAGTATCAGGGAAATGCCACAGGGTTGAATTTAGCAGATTAAGTCTAAATGATCCAAATCCTGCTGGTTTTTATCAGAGAAACTCTCAGTAGGAGCTGTCTATGGAAGGACTTCTGTTCTGAGCCCAGGCATTAGCAGGAAAACTCACTCTGATAAATACAATTAGAATAATAGCTAATAATCCTTTATAGTCCCTTCCATCAAAAGACATGGCTGCAATTCACAAACATTCTGTATTAAAGTGGCATTAAAGTCTTCTTTTAACCATGTCATCAACAGTGAAAAGAAGACATAGAAACAGTCTTTGTCTAGCATGACATAATGGATCTAAGTATTGTCTTTAAATTATTATCCTGTGTTTGGTCTACAAGATAACTCCTTACTCAAAACCAACTCCATGAACTCTTAGAAGAATTTTTCTAAAGTCACATTTTCCCATAGGTCTTAATGCTTATTTTGGATTTGCATTAGACTGAAATCTATATTATTTTACTTCGTACTGAATTAGGATAGAGTTTTTTATCTTGGTAAAGAGGCAAGTTTTAAAAGATGATGTTAAAGTCACTTATTGCTCTTGTGTTCTGAGACTGTTTGCTGTTTTTTGTTAATTTCAAAAGCTCAATTATGTAACTTTAAAATGAAGATATTGCATATGCAGAGGTGCTGTTTTCCATAATTTTTCTTTTTAACTATGCGTTGATGTTCTATTCTATGGATTATCTCCAGGGTAAAGACATTAGAAAAAAATCCTACTGATTTCAATAGGAGCTAACAACAACTGTAAATATTATGGTTTACCATTAACATATTTTGCTATATTTGCGCATTGCACCAGCACAAAAAAAACCTGCAGCAATTAAAAAAGAAGATCAGAACAATTCCAAATGTCTTGTGTACCCCAGATATCCATTGTTTTTTTTACTTTGGGCACACAAGGAATGCTACTTTTGCCCTCTTCTTTCAGTGTCTAAGATTTCCTCCAGCATATTTCAGGGTTTAACTCCCTTGAGCTTTCACACACCAGAAATAGTTGCATTGGTGCTGCCCTGGGTTCTGCAAATCCCTGCTAGCAATGTACTGTCTCAGCATCAGAAGTTATTTGGAGTAGAGTGCTGTAAGCAGGTTTCAAATGACAGAGGTCTGCATTGGCACAGCTTCACAGATGCTGAAGTCCTGCTTAGATGATTTCGGCATAAAGAGCACACTGAGAGGAAAAGAGAAAGTAGGCTCTCCTTTGACTACATCTAATTTAGAGTTATATCCACACTGCTTCCATTGCAATCAGCTAAGACATACTTTATAACATATAACATACACTTGCAATCAGCTAAGGCATACTTTATAACTTCCATTGCAATCAGCTAAGACACACTTTATAACTTATACTTTATAACCTGCACTGTACCTACAGCAGGGCCTGTAAAATCCTGGGCAGAGGAGTATGGAGTTACTGATTCACGACAATACTTAAGAAATAATAGAT